ATACTTGAGAAAAATACATCTAATTTATTGTTCTAGAGACAATCTAGTAGATTCAGTAGCAAATGCAGGCTAGGTACATCTATAAAGACAACTGATGGGCATGCTTTAAATAGAGGGATCAAAGAAAACTCACAGAAAATTTATGGCTCACATAAAGAAATAAGGCACTAGTAACATACACAAATGTTACATCATCACACAAGCACCATATGGAAGGGTTGGGACTGTACAATGGTTAGCGCTACTGGAAAGTGGAAATAAGGTTTATTTCCCTGGCTTTCTTCACTAATTCTTTCTTTCTTTTCAATAATTTGTATACCAACACTACAGTGGTGAGAGTAGACACTGCACAATTCATGGACCCAACAGGAATAGAACACTCACCTAAAAGTTGATTGCTTCAACAGTATAAGAAAACAGGTCTTTCTGATACCCTTGTTTTTCAACTTTTTAATTTTGGTAGAATTTGTTTTTTCCTTTCCAGTTGCTTTTCAGGGATGAATTAAAGGTGTCATTGATATCTATTTTGTTATTTCTACGTGCCTACTTCCTAAAAATATATTCAGAATGGCTTCTTCCATGCTCTTTATGAAGATCGTAAGTTAGCAGTGCAACTACTGAAATGCAGAAACAGTTAAAAAAAATTAAAAATCTAACATTTTCAACAAGGTTCATTTTCAATGTGAAAAACATTATGGCATATTATTTGGAAAGGAGCCACAGAGTTTACAGAAAATTTTAAACTGTGCAATAAAAGGAAAGTGACAAGACCTGGTACAACTCAGTAATGCAAACTACTCACCTTAAGATGAAGAAATTAATCATCACTTACTATTATTATTGAGACCAGAATTAAAATGGGATACAGTTTCATATTAAGTAGATGGTAATTATTCATTAGAACATCAATTTCTGAATATGCATTTGCAACAGATTCATACCACAACTATTCCTGTTTGGCATTTTAAGACTGTAGGAAAAAAAAAGACATGGATAAGGTAATTGTCCTTCAGATTTCTAAGATAAATAAATGATATATTTGCTTCATGAAAACGTCTTACTAATTTGGCTTAAAAGAGAAGCCAAACAAAAACTTGTGGCTTTTTAACGAATGATGAGCTAATGTAACAACATTTTCATGCTGCTGGATGTTTTTATTTATTTTTGAGACAGGGTCTCACTATGTAGGTCTGGCTGTCCTGGGACTCACTCTGTAGACCATGCTGGCCTTGAACTCACAGAGATCTCCCTGCCTCTGCCTCCCAAGTGCTGAAGTTAAAGGCGTACGCCACTATGCCCAGCCATGCTGCTGTTTTGACTAGACTTTTGCAAGACTGCAAAATGTACTACTAATATTAATAATTTTTTCAAAAGCAATGAGATTGCCAATTAATCCCACCCCACAAGGGGATAAGAGTACCTTTATTAGAAGGTGGCAGAGGCATGAATGCAGAGGGCAGCAGTCACACAAACAAGGGTTTAAGGCTCCTAACTGTATCATGTCATAGAAGACCAGGGCTGGTGAGGGACACAGGATGACAGGTCATCGAAGTCACATGCAGCAGGTTTCCTGGTGCATGTCAGACACACTCAGTATGCCTTCTGCCTTTCGCCATAAAACCAATTTTTAAAGGGTAGATGGAGACGGAAACAAAGCAAAACTATAGTAGACTTAGACCTTTCAAAGACATCGCTGTTGACTGAGAAGGGGGAACTGAAAGCAAATCCAGATGATCCCAGGCCTAAAGGTTCTGACTTGGCCACTTGTCAAGTGCCCTACCAGAGTGCCTTTTAATTTTCATAAAAAATCTGTGACAGACTGTTTTGGCCTCGGCAAATGGTGTCTATGTATGCACATGTACACAAACTGATTACTATTCTGTATTTCATATGAAAATAAGGAAAATAAAGTTTTCAAAACACCATCTACAGCAATTTAATAGTGATGAAATGATCAATAATAAATATTTGGCTATTGAGGAGTTACCATTTGTAACTTTTAAAAAAATGGACATTAGAGAAACAATTTGTAGTGAGCTGATAAAACTATCAGCTAATAATATATCTAGAATTCTTCATAAAGAAACAAAGCAAGTTGATTTTCTATAGGCTAAAAATTAGATATGTGCAACAGATATTTACACACTATGTATTTGAAACAGTATATTTAGATATAGAGGAAGTGATACTAATGAAAAGTTGGTAGTTTTAAGAATTTAACTAGAAGCCAGGTGGTGGTGGTGCACGCCTTTAATCCCAGCACTTGGGAGGTAGAGGCAGGTGGATCTCTGAGTTCGAGGCCAACCTGGTCTACAGCTAGGTCTGTTACACAGAGAAATTCTGACTCAGAAGAAAAAAAAATTAACTATAGTTTGAAGACAATATCCCTAGCTAGTCATGAGGTAAATCCTTGACATCCAAAGAACCCAATGACTACAGCACAGGAAAACCTAAAGTGACATTATTTCTGCACTCCCTGGGGTAATTTAATACCCAAGTGTTACTGTCTGAACTTTTTTGTTATATAGTAAACCTGTATTAAATACATCTTGAGTGTGGCTTATGTATAAATCCAAATAATTAAAACATTTGACTGGTTTCAAATGACAAGCAGTTTCTGTAGAGTAGGGCCAATCCAGGCTATAGACAAAGTGTTACTTTAGATTATCAAAATGTCTAATAATAATCACAGAACAGGAATAGAAAGCTGTATCTTACATACCATTGCTACAATTTCAAACCACCCCAAGTTGAAGCTAGAGGATGTTTTTACTAAAAGACCAATAAGCATAACTATAACTTATTTTGAATGAAGGAAGAAAGACCTTGAGTCAGGTTTTATGAATGTCTACATGCTTTTTGTAGACATTGAGCTTCTAGTCACCACGGATTTCTTGTTTGGTTCTGGAATATTATTAACCCTCTGGTCCAATGGGCATCTCATTTGTTTGACTTACTCGGCAGAGAGCTAGTAAAGAGTTCCTCACCTCCTATCAAGAATCAGGAAAAATGTTCCGGGCACTCTGGATCAATTTCAGCTAATAAAAAATTAAGATAAAAGATACTTACTACTAGAGTTTGGTCACAGAGACCTTTCAGCACAGAACTTCATTGCATTACAGTGAAAGGAGCTGAGAGTTAAGAAAAATTATTCTTCACTTGGACAAGATGAAAAGGGGAGGGGACTGCTGAAGTAAAAGTCACGATTATCTGAAAAACTAAAAAAAAAAAAAAGATAGGTGCATGGTATTGAGATATGTGCGTATTGCTGTACATACGAGAACAAAGTGATAGCCTATGATGCAGAACTGAAAGACACTAAAAATATTTTCTCTGTTAATGAGTCTAACATAATCTAATAAACTAATGAAATGTCTTTTAGAGGCATAAAGAAATGACCCTCAAAGGGGCATTGGTAATATTTCATGTATTTTTAAACGGATATTTTTTGCATTCTAAGTCATTATTTGCAAAACAGTCACTTCTTTAGTTGAAAGAAAAAATACAATTTCTAATGTGCATGATTACATGCTTGCATGACTGGCAACATGTGTAAGGTATGTGACATCTCAAGGCTTCAGTTAACCTGTAAATAGACAACTACTGTAGTCTCACACTACTGTGACTCTGTTTATAGGGTCTGAATAAAAGCAATGAAAGCTGAAGGCTCACAGTAACACACAGAAGTCCCATAAAGCACTTGGCTTCTTAATCAGTATTAACTGTACACTCAAAGGAAATGACAGTGGATTCCCATCCATTGATTTGCATCCAAAAAATAACCTTTCACAGTCTTAAATACCCTCTCAAGTTTGGAGTTCTTGTTTTATTGATAAAACTGTTTCTATACAAGTATCTTAGTTTAATTGATATGATCTTTGCAGAGACACATTCTAATATGTGATTCTGGAAGTTAGTTCCACAATTGTAGAAAAGCACACAATTAAGCTATAATTTGAAAAACAAAATGTGCTCCAGCTATTTTTATTTACTGTGTTTCTAGTTACTGTGTTTATAGTCAAGAAAATTTTCTTTTATAGAATTTACAAACTATGCAAATACAGTTAAAACTTGTAGCAAGAATTAATATCTTAAACAAAGATTCAAGTGAAATTATTATGTAGCATCATTATTTGCTACAAGTTCCAAATGTAGCAAAATTGTTGCAAAAAAAATTCCAGGATTACTAAAGCATTAGGAATAGCTCTCTATATTTAGGAAGGCATCACATAAACTTCTAAGCTTCCAATTCCTCACAAATTTGAAGAATTTAAACACATTTTATGACATAATTCTATTCTCACCACTGAAAAACACATGCCACTTGTGTTATCACTTAATTATCTAAATGGCACACACACTGGAAAGTGCATCAATTTTAAGGCTAACCATTACAGCAGACATTAACATAAAACAAGACTTCAACCACTGACATGGAACAACTCACATTAAGGCTTTGTGTGCAGCTTGTTTCTAAAACTAACATCTAAAGTGCCTCATGGCATGGATTTTCTTAGTTTTGTACTTACATGCCACCAAATGTTATGTAGGCCACTGATTTTTTTATAATCAGTAACAACAAGCATCATAAAAGTCTGATGTTAAAACAGTTTCATGTGTTCAGTAGGGGAGGTGTTGGCAGATACACTGAAATCTGAGAAAAGAAAGAAAAAACACTGAGGCTACACAGATCAGGGTGAGCTTTTCTCCCCCACCTGCTTCTATTTAATCTTCTCTGAGGGTGAAAATAGTAGAGGTATAGACAAAATGTGGTTGGAACTAATGTAAGAGACAGACAATGACCACAGGGGTGTATTTTGTGAGAATGCTGGGTCACATATCTGGATAGTGAAATGTAAAGATAAACTCAAATAGGGTCTTGGGACTTAAGAGATAATGCCACAGAGTTGAGCATTTCCCAAGAGGTACCAATCAATCTTGATCACACAGCAGAAAAAGATACCACACTGTAACATGTCTGCTGTTTAACTATCTTTGACTGTTTTTCTGTCTGTTCTTGTAGGAGACCGTAAGTGGCTGACTACTAGACCATAAATGTGTAAAGAGAATGTTGCTTGTGTCATAGGGTTTGATCCCTTTCCTTTCCCTTCTATAAATGACACACACGGACATGGTGATTGTTTTAGAAAATGTGACATACACCATCCATTTGGCATGAGTACTGAAGTTAAAAGCAAGTGATCTAAGAACCAACTCATCTTCTTTCACACTGTCGAAGACAGCTGATCACATTTTAGCTTCATTGGAAACAGATCAATTTTCTCTTTTAAACTTTGGCAAGGTATTTGGCTAACCTATCAAGGACTAAGTCTTTCAAAAGACAATTTGCTTTAAAATTAGACACTCTCTACACTGTTTATTCACAAATAGGATCTCAAATATATTATTTCCATGATCTCATTGCCCAACTATGCATTAAGAATCTTTATTACAAATACTTAGTAAAAAATAAAATTCAAAATCCCATGGAAATGATCATAGTAGGTGGCAAAATATATGGATGAATAAAACGCTTAGTTTGTGATAAGTGAAAACTATCTTACTTCCCATTCAACAGAAGACCAAGTCAATTAAAACGCAGCTCTACAGTTAGGCAGTCGTTTTCAAATGGATGTAAAAACTTATGGCAAGGTATTTTTCTAATATTTAAAAACATGAAAAAGAGTCACAGCAAAGGATATTCTATTTGTAGAAAACTAACACACAAAGGTACATACATGCACACATACAGACACACACGTATTTGTACACTTGAAGAAAGCTTTTGGAAGGACAGGTATCAGACCATTGGTAGTCACCCCTAGAAAAACAAGGGGTAGGTAAGCAATAGAGTTTGTACCTTATAATTTTAATTTTATATGGGTTTGATTTTCTTCAGGAACATACATACATTTACTAAGGTAACACATAAGGACAAGTCGTGGGTAAAAAGTCACAACATGTATACTTCATGTAAAGGACTTTTTAGAATTTACCATAAAGGTCACTACTGCTCTACCTTCAAAGTTGGCACTGACATATAAATACATTTTTTCCCCATTTTAACTTTTTTTTTTTTTAAGATTTTGAGGCTTACTAAAATATTCACAAACACTTTTAAGTTACTACCATGGAAAGGACACACATACTTGTGTAGTCTTTAAAAAGAGAAAAATGCACACATTTCTTTTACAAATCTGTGCACTTACAAATGAGATGCCTGTGCAGTACAGTGTGCACACTGCTACCCTCTGATGGAGCAATCTTTCTTGATAACAAACACCACTTTGTAACTCACATATTGGAAATTTTTTCAAATCAGATAAAAATACCTGTAAAAGATAAGTTCTTTAAAGAATAGAATAGAAATCCCTGAGTAGGCCAAACACAACAGGCACAATAACCCAAGAATATAGACAATCTTAGAACTGAACATCTCTGTTCACCCAGGTGGTGTGTATGAACCTGACATGTTTACATATGACACATAGATATATGCATAGATCCTACACAGACAGATCCATCCTACTCACACATGGCCAAACTGATGCCCGAGTCCAGGAACAATGAATTTCTAAAACTTAAGCACTTTATGATAGAAACATGTATTGGGGCTAGAAGTTCTCACTCTTTTGGTCCAAAACTAGTACACCTAAAGCAGACAGTGAGTAATTGCCAGATGGATGGCTGAAGGCACAGGAAGATGAAATCTTCGAAACCAAGTCACTGTTCCTTACCTCACACCATAATCTAGTGGCTATTCCAGAGCCACGAGTACCGCACACTGCTCTTGCTAGAAACTCACCACTTAGCAGGAAGTTGTCCAGCTCTTCTCTGTGGCTCAGAGGGAACCCAAGCATGCTAGCTTATACATGGACTGTTATTCATGGACATGAATTGTTTCAGTCAAACACAAGGATTCAAAGTTCTTACACTCTAGCATCCAACACCATGAAATAGCTATGTAAATGTGCATGTTACCATATAGTCTACTTCAAGTCAAACACAGTTACATTTACAGTAAGTAGAGTAACATGATAAAATTCTAACTTGGATAATTTAGAGGTGACTGGAAACCTCAGGCTTTTTAATATCTCTTCTTCGTCTTGATAAAGGTTATGGTGAAAGCAAGGAAATAGAGCTGTTTAGTTAATTTCATTTTCTTATTCTCAAAGACTTCTCATTTTCCTGAAAATACTTTCATTTGTTTCCTTCTCCAAAAGCAGTTTACATTTTAGATGAAACTATGTACATAAAAATCTGTTTTCAAGTTATCTCTCTATTAGGAGATATCAACAACGCATGAATCTGAGTGGTAAACACAGATAAAATTCCTCAAAACTAGTATTTATTTTGAAAAAAAAAAGGGAGGGGAACTAGAGGAACTAGGGAAGGGGCAGAGCATCAAATAATTTTTTAAAAACTTAGACCTAAAGCAGAATTATCTAGAATTATAAGGTGGTAATTATTTAATGAGTAGAATAGGAATTAAAGTTTAAGCAGTTTTCTTCCAAGCAAAAAAAAATTTTTTTAAATTAAATTATCCAATGAGGACTATATTATCAGAATAAAGTATGTATGCCCAAATCCAAGGAATCCTAAAAGATCAAGCGTTGGAAATTTGGGGACTTTCTAAAACCACTCTTTCACTTTCGTCAGTTTACAAAGTTTGGTACATCTTGCAGTGACATTGCACAAATCTCTGTGTGTGTATGTGTGACCATAGGAAGAGCAAGAAACAGACAGGGCTACCACAGAAACGACCTCTTGTTGACACTGGTTTTAATTCAGTTCATTACCAAGTTAGGCCCATGAAAGGGACCCTCATGGCTGAATGGTTCTATGAAAATAGACATGGAAATGGACAAGCACACGGTTATGGAGCCTGATTTAATACGTGTTTATATACACACAGTCACATCCTTACACATACGCACCAGTTACTCATGGTTCTTCTCATTAATTTAATTCCACCAATTCCCTTCTGGGTACTGAGTTTTTGTTTCTGTTTTTTGTTTGTTTGTTTGTTTGTTTTGTTTTGTTTTTTTAAGCAATTACAGTATCCAAAGAACAAGAGAATGGTACGACTTGGGCTACAGATGAAAACAGGTGCATTTGGTGAACTGTAATTTATCTTCTGCAAAGTGGCTTTGTTTGCTGGAACAGACAGGACTTCAGCTATGCACACCAAGTCTCACAGACACAGCCTGGAGGGAAGCACACGGTTCAGACAGTCCAAACAATACCCCTGTGAGGTGCCCTCAAAACACATCTGAGGATACCCTGTTCTCAAAATATCTTCTTCCAAGAACCACAAAGGTCAGAGTTGCTATATAAATGTCTATAATTAACGAAAGTGACCATTTTTTAAAAAGCAGCAATTTGTTTAGGGAAGGACAGGATACCATGTTGGGAGTGCACCGTAGCTAGAGGCACTGTGGCCTGCAGAGAACCACAGGAAACAAGATGGCAGAAGTTCCTCTAGGTGTTCTGAAGGATCCGACTCACAGACGTATACCATCCTGCACAGCCTCCCTTGGTACCGGCTGATGTCATGGGAAATCCTCTGTGGATCACCAGTGCATACCTGTCCGTGATCGCTTTCTCTGTTTTTTACAAAGGCAATATATAGGAAATACAAATAAACCTAGGAATTAAAAAAAAAAAAGCAATTAGAGTGGAAATGCTGAAGTGTGTACATGTGTGTGTGTGTGGGGGGGTATATTTGAAATTTCCAAATTTTACTTATATGCAAACTATTTATAACAGTCTTAAAGATTTACAAACATAAAAATACTACAGGACGTGTTGTTTTGTAGAGGACTTCATTCTTTCTATTTCTCTGTGGACCTCTGTCCCCTTTTGCACCCTCAGTTATACCAGTTCTAATAAAATACAAATATTTTGTAGCATACCATTTAACTTTATGTCGCTGCCTTTTTTGTCACAATCCTATAATTTGCACACTATGATATTCAAGTTCACTGTTGGTCAGTATAGCATCTTATCTAAAAACATACATGTGGTTCCCGTTCTAATAATTCTGAGGTCCTAATGAGACTTGATTCCCTCTACTTGAGATAATAACATCTGTTGTATAAAGTCACGACTGACTAAAATGACTTGAATGCGAGACACCATAATTCTATCTGTCCCACACATTCATTATCTAAAGAGAAGTTTACATGTAGAAAATCATTTAGTTCAGCAAAAGCATCCCATTTTATATAGGGAATAATGATAAAAATAGCTTTTATCCAGAACATTTAAGTTGAAATTTCTAAAGCAATGCTTCACAAAGTGTGGCCCCTGAGCTAACAACACCAACACCCAGGATCTTTTTAGAAACATAAATTCACGGGCCCAGCCACCACACTGTGTTAGAAGCTGAGGGTGCTTGTTTTCGTCAGTTCTCCAGGCTAGTCTACATCATGCTGAGAGCTACTGCTTTAACATGTATGTTCATCTTCATCTAGTCTGATAAGCACATCCTGTTGGAAACATGTTCCCCTGACCTTATGCACCCCATGCTGCATGGCTGTTTAAAACAAGGCACAGAGGAGAAACCTCCCTCACGTACTCACTGACTCACACCATAACACACACACTATCATCTCTACTCTTGCGGGAGAATTCTAATAGGTCATGTGCTTCTTACCGATTACAACTGCTATGGCCCCTAGTGCCAATCCCAAAACCAGGATGAGAGGCGCAATGAAGAGCTTTCCAGCTGGAAAATAAAATCAAAATAATTGAAAGAATCTGATTTACCAAGCACTTATAATAATCCTTGAAAGAAGTATTACAATTAGGGACATATGCAGAACTGATACACACATGCAATCCATCACTGAAGTTTAAGTACACGGTGCCTCAAAGCCCTGGGCATATGCCAAACATCTACAAGTCATTTACTCTTTACAACCAAAAAGATTATAATCCTTTATACTGGCACACTTTATTCTTCGTATTTTTCCTTTAGATTTCTTCTACCTTCAATATTCAAAATGTTGAAAGGAGTAGCATAGTCTAGCATGCAGCAGACAATCTATTGAGCTCACAACGTTGGAAAGCTGATAGGGACCACAGTGGGTAACTGACCAGGCCCACGTATAAGAAAAATGCTTTATTTACTTGTTGGGTAAGAGGGGAAATCATATGAACATCTAATAGAGTGAACTACAAATGGGATGCTTCGAGACAACTGCTGTAGAAACTGCCCATTGAATAAATGATGTGTTGGAAATTAGTCAAGTGAATCATTGTACAGACTTTGAAAGGAAGCACTTGTAAGAAGGCCTGGTTCCGGGAGGGATGCCACACTTGGCAGCCCCAGCTGACTTCTCTTCTGAATGAATAACTGATTTGTGACAATCATCACTATTGTCACATGTCACTGAAGCCAAGAAGCCACCACCAGTGGAATCCCTTTGACTTTGAAAGGCACTGACATAGACAAAACCAGGACAGTTACGTATGTCTTGTCACCGTGCTGCAACCTTTGAGCACATGACATAACTCTACAAACTAAATTCCACAGAGCGTGAGAGGAACAGGAAGTCTGTAGTGGAATCACACAGTCACTCAAGAATTGCACAGCATCACCACTCTATAAATTATACAAAGTGAACAAGGATGATAATTAGATGAGAAAAGATACACAGCCATTTGTTGGGAGTTTGGCAGAAAAAATATTAACTTTTTAATTCATAGAAAATAGTCTTTAGAATTAGATGACTAGATATGGAAAAATGCTGTTTTATCAAATTAAGAATATAGTTTACTATCTAGTAAATTTATAAATGAGTCGTTTGTCAGTTTAACATGCCACCCAGTCTTGAGTTTATCTTTTGCTTTATACCAATAACAAAACTCAGTTAGGCAGTACTAAATCTCATTGGACAACTGCTTGTCCACCCAGAGAGTCATGCTGAAGACTCCAGAATGCAGTATCCAGGATGCATTAAGAGCCTGCTTTTCTTCCCCAAACCCCTACATATGGCTCAGTCTCTTTAGTGGTTATTTCCTCTTTAAGTAACCAAGACATTTTCATCTTAGTAACAACACTGACCTTTCCCTCCCGAACATTAGTGAATCCAAGGAGCATGTGTCGTGCCTGCCCTTTAGAGGGAATAAACTCGACAGTGTAGGACACAGTTAAGTCTGCTTCTCAGATTGCCTTGACTGGAGCAAGCATATTTTCTCTTGTTCCAATAACAATTGTGTTAAAACATCATTTTTAATAGTCAAAAATATTTTTCACATCCACAATTATATCCTGTGTAAGTATTTTTAATTTAAAATTTTATTTAATGTTATGTTATCACAATAAACCATTGATTATCTATCTAGATCAACTGTTTTATTTGTTTATTCTTTTGAGATAGGGTCTTTAGGTAGCCTATGTTGGACTTGAGCTTTATGCCTTAACCTTCTGAGTGCAGCCTTTCTATGCTCAGTTTTATTTACTGTTTTAAAATGCCCACATTACTATCATATTAATTTCCTTCCCTTCCTCTTTCACTCCCTATGCCCCACTTTGGTTTTTCGAGACAGGGCATCTCTGTGTAGTTCTGGCTGTCCTAGGTCTCACTCTGTAGAACAGGATGGCCTCAACCTCAGAGAACTTCCTGCCTCTGCCTCCCAGGTGCTAGGATTAAAGGTGTGTGCCACCACTGCCCAGTGCTCTACTCTCTCTTTTAAAAGAAGATCTGGTGACACAGTTCAGGTTGGTCTTGAACTCATGATCATCTTACTTCAGCTTTCAGACAATGTAAGACTTCTCCATGTGCATTATTATGCCATGATAGTTTTTATTTCTTTTGAAAATAATTGATCAAAAATTTCAGTACATTCTGTAGACTATAAAAGTTCAACACTGAATATTAATGACAATTGCATACTAGTCAAAAGTTCAAAGTAACTCATTTTATACTTTAAATTTTTCTGACAGTGAGTAATTTTTATGTGAACTCTTTAATTCCACTTTCAGCTTCTTTAAAATGAAATGGTCTTGCTCCATAGCTCAAGCCGGCCTCTAGTTCACTATGTAGCCTAATCTGGCCTTGAACTCCTAATCATCCTGCCTCCAATGCCATTGATCTGGGATTACAGGTGTGCATTACCAGGCCTGCTACTGTTTCTTTCCCTGTAAAGAAATATGATCCTTTGGAACTGGAGATACAGACAGTTGAAGCCCAACCCATGTCTGTGGGTGCTGGGAACTGAACGCAGAGCCTCTGAAGGAGCTATTAACTGCTAAATCCTCTATCTAGGCCCCCTGTTTCTTTAACTTAAATTGAGGAGTATTTTTCAAAAGACTTTTTGGAGGAGACTCCTTGCTCTAGCTCATAGTAATTGTTTGCTATGACGAGATAAGTTAAAGAATTATCCTTAAAAATTATGTAATTTAAAACTTCAAATTTTGGAAGCTCACAGGATGGCTCAGGTGGTAAAGATGCCACACCCAACAACCTGAATTTGATCCCTGCAACTCTTCTGGTAGAAAGTGAGAAATGATTTCCACAGATGTCCACATGCATGCAATGGTATATACACACATGAATGGCAGTGAATCCATATACAGGTAATTAAACACACATAATTAAGAAGTTTGAAAAACACTCCTTGAATAAGCTGCCTGTTTCCCAGATGCTGCTCATCATCTCGAAGCGCCCAGGAGCTCTAGCCGCCTGCACAGGGAATGAAGGTCAAGTTCCCCATCCTCAGCTGTGATGGCACTTGCTCTGCCTCTGGCCAAGGGCACTTAAAGGCACTCACACAGACAGATGTGAGGATTAAGCTGTAAACCATATCCTCTCTCATATGGCAGGAGTAAGTAATTTGGGGGGCTACAGAGTAACCCATTTTCCTGTTTTAGTTGAGTAAGAGGGATGGAGGCCCCTACAAAGGGGAGTGGTGTATAGCTTGTGTCAAGTTGACAACTGAACTAACCATCATAACCAACTAGTCACAGCTGTATATGGTGGTCAGAAAATGTATGAGAGGGAAAAATTATTATTGTAAGCCAGCTGTTCCTTATGGTATCAGGTTTATTTTGGCTTAATTCAACTTACACTTGTGTGTTGTAGCTGAATACACACATGCATCTGAATACAAGATAGACCACATACACACACACACACACAGAGAGAGAGAGAGAGAGAGAGAGAGAGAGAGAGAGAGAAAGAGAGAGAGAGAGAAAGAGAGAGAGAGATTCAAGATGGTGCTGAAACAGGAAAACAAAAGAGCCACAAAAGCAATGAACTTTTGTGTCTGAGGTTGTTCTCTGTATATATAGATTTACAGATGCAACACAATTCACAACTCAACTCTGTTTGCAATTTTTTCTCATGGGATGACTCTTACAAATACTGCCCATATTTCTTAGTTATCTTCAAAGTCCATAGAAGCAACATGTAAATACTGATTTTATCATTGTAATTTTCACCTAACAAGCAAATAGAGGAACCGAAAAATATTAAAAACAAGTTGGCTATTGGATGGTGTTGACTTTGGAAAAGTAGTGTGTTTTAATTAAAATTTAGTTGAGAGGTTTTTGTTTTTCAGTGATCATGCACGGTTTTAGAAAGTGGGGACACTGGTCTCCACATATTAGAGTATACTTAAAAATGAAGAGTCTGTAACTCAGACAAGCCTTTCTCAACTCAGCCATCATAACTCTAGAGAGGAGTGAGTCACAGCACTGAAATGGCTGAGGAGAGTCACAAAGGCATTCCCATGAACTAGGCAAGTGGGTGGGAAAGACGGAAAATGTGTGGATGTGTAAAAAGTGCTGGATACCCAGGAGAAAACCTATCAGAGAAAGCACCATGCTGTAGAGAAAGAAGGTAATCTCACAGCGGACACATTACCCAGGAGGTGGCTAACGTGAGAAATCAGATGAGGTCAGAAGAACTGAATAAACCAAGGCAGGGCACGGGGCCGGAGTGATCTGATAGGAACAGCTATTTATGTTTCTATTTGCACGGCATATGTGTGTGAGCATAGGGCTGTGTGTTTTCTGAAGAGGGGCTAAAGCAGTCACCTGAGTAACGAGACTTGGGCTTATACAAAATTGGGAGCTTTCAGACTCATTCCATTATCCAATTAGTTGTTGATTACTAACAAAACGACAAAAGATACATGACAATATCATTTTTATAGGTATTATACAACTCTGGTTATGTTTTGTTCATCATGTTCCCTGTTAAGTGTTGTACCATGCTTATGTAATGAATCGATAGAGCATCTAAATATGACGTTCTCTGTCACCAATTGGCTCACACCCAGTGTTTCAGAAATGGTGGTCATGAAGAGTGTTGTATGAACAAACTTAACTTTTCAATTTTGATCACAAAAGGAGTGACTCTTCCTACATTTTGGTAAAGGCCCTCCTAGAATCCTTGGCACATAGCAAGCACTCAGAATTCTCAAGGCTGGGACACTTCTACCAACACTCCTCAGGTCCTAAACAACACCCAAGAACAAGCGTGTGTGTGACACTACTCACCACAAACTGACCCTCGAACTAATCTTCTTAAATGAGGTCTCTCTGGGAGGTAGCGATATTTGCATCCAAATATACTGAGGTTTGATGTGTGGTCTCCAAAAAACCGGAGCTGGCGGTATCTCTCTCCACATCGATAACAAAAATTAGTGTTACACTGTGAACAAGTCATATGGTCACATCCTTCCGTTCTCTGGATATGGATCTGGAAAGGGGGATAAAGAGAAGGAAATGCAATTAAACATGTTTAAAAAGTAAAATCCCAAATATTTCAGAACTACTTTTACCAAGTTAAAAGTCTTGTGTAGCATTCCTGAAGTGAAGTTTTCAATTTGTTTATAAACATATTTTTATTTAAAATATCCCTGATTTAATTTTTACCATTATAAGTTTGTAATGTTGCTTAGGGACTTGTGTGCACATACTCAGGAACTTTAAAATTAACACAAGAGTCAAACCTGCCAAAGGTTGTTGTTTGACTCTTACTAGGTAAGTCATGGCCACAGTCTACATGTTTACATATTTCACTTGCCACTCTACTCGTTTTCCTTAGGTACACAGACTTAGTGTGTAGTTAAGGGCATAGGAGTACTTATGTTCCAGGGTTGCTACTAAATCACGATTTGGGCAATAAACCAAAGCTGTTGATTATTGCTACTGGTGCCTTATCCTTTTACAGTTATACAGTTTTCTCTTTGCATAAGCTGGTCCGACAGCAGTGGATACAGGCTTTGTGCGGGCCTATCAATTACCTGAGGGTCTCTCTTTAAGAACAGATGTAAATTGTAAACAAAACTGGGATAAAAGGCCTAAGAGAGGGCTTCCAAGCTCAGGTTCTACAGCCCTTTAGTAACTCAACCCCTGGTCCAGTAAACATTCTTCTTGTGCCTATTTGTCAATACTTGTGGGATCATAGCCATGCATCCTGCAGATGGTGCTAAGAAATAATGCAGACCAGGGCTAGCAATACAGTATACAGGCCCAGATTCAATGCATATGGCCTCATAAACTGAGTATGGTGACCCATGCTGGTAAAGCCAGCCATCAGAGGACAGGAAAGCAGGAGAATCAGAAGTTCAAGGCCATTCTCCATCACATGGAGAGAACTCAAGAATAACTTGGACTACATGAGACCTTGTCTCAAAAAACAAAACAAAGTAAATGACAAAACAAAACATGGGCCAAAGGGCTCCTGAACCATTTGTGATCCTTCAAGCTGCCAAGGTACTAGGAGAAGGTTACGTTTGAAACCAACACTCAACATCTACTGCCAACTTTTGGATTCTATGCAGCATTGAAATGGAGACAGTTAATGGTTTTTACCAAAGAACAAGCAATAGTATGGGTGACCTACAAAAGCAGAAAATTTCTTTAGAAACTGCAGTGCTCCAAGCACTTTACAAAGACTGCAAAAAGCAGCTTCTCTGATGAGGGCTCAGAGATACATTAACCTATGGGGTACAGCTGTGTGTCTGTATGAATTGCTAAATTATGTCCACTTAGCAGGATTTGTGGGCCAGTGAGGTTCCAGAATCCTCCAAACATCACAAGATATTGACAATTCTTTTTGTTACCCTCCAAAACTTGATGGTAAGACCCTATAGCTAAACATCTACATACTTGATCCTGAGACTCCACACCTTCCAGAAGTGCCATAATATACAAACAATGCTCAATAGGCCATTTATTCTCCTTTTAGAGAGTTCAGAGTTCTTGTTTTATTTGGCAGGAGATGTTTGGCTATCACAAATGAGTCTAATGTTGCCTTGGGGTCTTGTGGAAGAACTAGACTCTTATAATTTTCAAATGCATCGGATATTCACACAGATGAAATTTATTTATAATATCTGAACTTAGACTTTATGTATAATCACAAAGATATTTATATAGTCTTCATATAGCGTATTTTTAACTTATGCTACTATTGTGAAACAGGGCATATTGATTATATCTGAACTTAGAACCTAACTTCATTTTATATTTAAGCCCAAAATGCATTTTAAAATCATGCAAACATATATGCTTTGCATGGTTTTAAAATGCCTTGACTTTTCTCAAGCTATAACTGCATATACACATACACTTTCATATACATATATTTAGACATATTCATACTTTTTTGCCTTCATTTAAAACTATTAAATATAAAGTACAGATATTGATCTTTTAATTTCAAACTTTATTAAATGTCAATATGTATATATTTATCTGCTTCCTATTTCTTTTAATATTGTCACACATATTTACATATAAGTGTATGTTTTTTACATTATGTGTCACTTGTTTCTATTTTATAATTAGAGCAAATGTATATTTGCATTATATGTTTAATCTCCAAAGAATAAACAAGTTTGTTTGTTTGTCATAAAAATACATTCTGATTGGTTATATGACAGCACATGCCCAAAATCTCAGCACTTGGCAGGCTGCTGTGGGGTGACTGTAAGCTAACTACGGCAGAGGCTGGTGTGCAGCAGTAAATGTGGGTACATGTTAGACAGTACTGTTATCATCATTAATGTGCTAACCGTATAAAAGGAGAAGGATGGAACACCAGAAGTTAGCATGACCTATTAGTGTTTTGGTTTATTTGCGCATGCTTGTGTGTGCTACTGGGGCTCAGAACACGAGGAAGCAAAGGTCAACACTCTGCCACTGATCACAGGTCTGACACTTCCTTTAAAAGCAGAAAAGTAACCGTCCTTTTATCTTGAATAAAGAACGTGTTGGCATAGGATAAGTTACTTAACTACCACCGTTTCATATTATTTTACAAGTCATGTTAGTTACACATTAGCCTTAGAATACAGGTAATTCCTAATTCATCAGTTCTCCACGGCATCTTGAAAAACGGCTCAAGCAGTAGCATGCATTTTTTTTTTTTTTTTTTTTTTTTTTTCTGTAAGAGGAGACTCAAAGTGCTCAGCCATGGATCACTGTGGCTAATTCCTATCACATGGCACAGAAGTCTGAGTAAACAGCTTTTAAATTTGACATTAAGGGAGAAAGTAACTTGAAGGAGTAGGTTTAATGAATTCCCTTTCGACCCCTGCCTGTAGCACCCATCACCAAAAATGACTCCCTAATAATTTTGTAAAACATTAACTCAATTTGGCTTTATTAAGCTCTGAATTCTAAGCAAAAATTGCCCTTTACCCTAAGAAGGAAAAAAACAAACAAACAAAGAAAAATTAAAAAACAAAGCAAACTAAATAAAACAAAAAGCTAGCTGAACCCCTAAAGGTTATACAGGTTGTATGAGATGTTTGTGAGCTATGTTACGGCACAAAGCTGTGACGTCCTGTTTCCTAGTTGAATTTTATTTTTAATTATGAGCAAGTTCAAATATTTTCAACATTGCAGGCAATAATTTAATGGCTATCCATGGACTTAATAATACAAAAATGGTGCAACCTTTGCAGAAGTGCTGAAGAGAATGGTTTCTTAGCAGAATGACTTCTTCATGTTTTATATACACTATTAAAGCAAATTCCCACTTGCTTTAAACTTCCCTCAATAGAACAGCCCAGAGGTATGGACTCCTGTATTTTCAGAGTTCATGTGCTGAAAACATGTTTGGAAGGCAGAATTCTTACCTTAGGGGAAAAAAAAATGGGGTTTGTCTGTTTCCCAAATACTGAGACTACAGGCATGCATTGTCACATCTGGACAAGTAAAATGCAAGGTTTTAGGTCAAGATTTTAAAGTACTCAAAGCTGGGAATCAGATGCCCTGTGAAAACCTAAACAGCTACTAACTAGACTGAAGGTTTAAGGCTAAAACACATGTGACTCTGAAACTTCTTACAACTACTGTTTAATTAGTTTTATATTGTTGACACCTTTATTAATTAGAATGATGCATCCCACTTTAAATTTTTAGTCTAGCAAATTTCCAATCCAGAATCTCATGTACAGTGTCATGTATAGATGAACTTTTGAACAGTTTTTTATCCCCAATAAATTTTAATTTCTTGTGTTAAATTTAAAGATTAGAGTATCGTGAACTATGTTTTGTTGTGTTGTGATTAAGTTTAAGGGAAATCTGTCAAAAGAAGCTTATGTTTTCTTTAGAATCAGAATTTACATGAACAGAAGTCATTTTTATAAGAATGCTGTGTCATAATTTATTAAATAAACCTCTGCAGTCAAAAGTAAGAATGGGAGTGGGCCTGGTCCACATCTTTACCCAGTACTCAGAAGCAGGGAGACAGAGGCAGGCAGACGTCTGTGACTTTAAGACATGCCTTGTCTACAACCAAGATCCAGCCAGGAGCCACATGGTGAGAACATGGTCTCTTAAAAAACAGGACAGGGAGAGACAGAGAGAGACGGAGAGGCAGGGAGGAGGGAAGGAGGGAGGGAGGGAGGGAGAGAGAGAGAGAGAGAGGAGGAG